GATGACAATGTCAGGCTTGACCCGGAGCTGGTCATATCGGATCGGGCAACCAATACTGCCAACAAACAGTTGCCACTGGGGATGGTCGTAAATCAAAACATCATCCATGGGCCACGTCTCGACATCATGCTGGCATGGCCGAGGTGGCGGGATCGACCCAGGCAGCACATCTGTCTGGCCGGTCCATGCTTTGTACAACTTCATATCCATATCTCCGAAATCTGAGATGGCCTCAACTGCCAATTTGATTCGTTGATCCAATTGTGCAGCCCTTTGGATCTTTCGGAGCCCGGTGGTATAGTCGGCAGCTGATCTGCCACAGTGTAAACAATTCCACCGAAGTTGTTGCACGGCTTCGTTCCAGTAATCACTGCCAAGGTCAATGTGATTGGCCTGATTCTGATGGTCAGCAGCAGAAGTCTGGCACTCTGCCTCGGAACTCCCTGAGCACCTTGAAACGGTCGTCGGCATCACTGCTTTCATCGAGCACCCAATTGTCCAACGATTAAAACATTAACAGTGACTAATGCATCACTATACAGTACATTAACCAATGATATGTAACATTGTGTTACTACTGTTACATCAGTATGAATGAATCACTTGATTATCTGGCCGGCAGATGTCGATCATGTATGGTGCAAGGCAACTCACTGACAGACTATGCAGGCAGGCAGGCAGGCAGCCAGCCTCGGAGACAGCAGGGTCCTGAGGACGTCACTGCCACCCGGCACTGTGTAGTCAGCATGTCATGCTGGGTAACCTTTTGGAATCCAAGTTGCGCACACTACCGCTGAGGTCTCCAATCGGACAGTCTAGCTCTGCTGGCTAGATCGTCGAATTCAAAATCCTCTAAACCCGGCACTCTGCCTTCCCCAACATCCGTAATGCGGTCTCGGAGGCTGTACAAACACGATGAATCACTGATTCAGTGACGACACAAATTCGTCTGACACATTGTAATGTAAAATTCCTGGCACTCTGCCTTGCCGCACAAATCTCGGAACGAGTACGCACAGGATCATGTCATTGATATGCCAGTCTACTTGCAAGACTTGCCCACGCTCTTCAGAATTCAGAAACATCCACAATGTCGAAAAGGACTCCTCTAGCAGCTCGTCGAAATAAATCACATAATCATCGTCGTCAAAACTGTCCGCGACCGAGCCCACAAACGAACCCCCAAACGCCGCAGTGCTTGCAAACTCGCCAACAGCCAATAAGTCCGAGACCGAGCCCAGAGACTCACTGTCACTCCACGACGTCGACGACATCTGCCGGCTTGCACGGAGGCCTACTACGACTTAGACTAGAGACAGAGCAGGTCGTCGGGATCACTGCTTTCATCGAGCACACTTCAATTGTCCAAAGATTAAAACATTAACAGTGACTAATGCATCACTATACAGTACATTAATCAATGATATGTAACATTGTGTTACTACTGTTACATCAGTATGAATGAATCACTTGATTCCCTGGCCGGCAGACAGATGTCGATCATGTATGGTGCAAGGCAACTCACTGACAGACTATGCAGGCAGGCAGGCAGGCAGCCAGCCTCGGAGACAGCAGGGTCCTGAGGACATCACTGCCACCCGGCACTGTGTAGTCAGCATGTCATGCTGGGTAACCGTTTTGAATCCAAGTTGCGCACACTACCGCTGAGGTCTCAAATCGGACAGTCTAGCTCTGCTGGCGAGATCGTCGAATTCAAAATCCTCTAAACACACGCAAACCCGGCACTCTGCCTTCCCCAACATCCGTAATACGGTCTCGGAGGCTGTACAAACACGACAAATCATTGAAGCAGTAACGCCAGAAATTCGTCTGACACATTGTAATATAAAATTCCTGGCACTCTGCCTTGCCGAAAATCCCGCCGAAGTCTCGGAAAGAGTGTGAACATGATCTGCTCATTGACAGACCAGGCTACTTGCAAGACTTGCCCACGCTCTTGAGAATTCAGAAACATCCAGAATGTCGTAAAGCACTCCTCTAGCATCGTGTCGAACGGAATCACAGAATCATCGTCGTCAAAACTGTCCGCGACCGAGCCCGCAGTGCTTGCACCCTCATCGTCAACCAGAACCCAGTCCGAGCCCACAGACTCACTGTCACTCCACGACGTCGACGACATCTGCCGGCTTGCAGGGGGGCCTACTACGACTTAGACTTGAGACAGAGCAGCTGTAACACGACTATAGTAGATTACGCAGGGCAACAGCGAGCACAACTGCTGCAGCGGCAAGTTGCGATACATGACACGCTCACTGACTATGCAAGGCAGCTTGTCCTCTGCGATGGCAGCATGTCCTCAGGATCCTCGTCATGAGCCTCGGTGCCAGGACTGTACCATAATAATGGAAGTAGCTGAAGCAAGCTGATGCTGAGATCCCAGCAGTTGGCATCCACTTCTCGATGGGCTGGAAGCCGATGAAGACCGATGGGAGAGAAGGAAATGGAAGAGAAGGCGTTCACTAGGCTTGGATTCAAACCGAACACTTAGACCTGGCCAACGGTGTGGGGAGCAACCCCGATGGGGCAGGGACTTAAGTAAGGCAACCTCGAGAGGCTCGACTGGCACTCTGCCTCTGTCGATCCAAGTCGCAAGGCTCCCTAACTAACGTGACAAGCATGGATGGCCTCCCCTCCTGGTTGGGAGAAAAATAAAAAAGCCACAACCACTGGACCACCCCACCCGGCACTTTAGCCCATGTGCCCGGGTGTCATATGCCACTGCCCTGGCACGTTGGCCCCAAGGCGGTCCAGGTACCATCGACAACACCTGACACCCGGCCAACGGTGTCCACGAACCGAGATGGGCAGTCGATCCGTGTGGGTAAGGTGGCACTCTGCCTCTGTCGATCCAAGTCGCAAGGCTCCCTAACAAAACGTGACGACAAGCATGGATGGCCTCCCCTTCAAGGCTGTAAGCACGGCTGCGAACAACCCCTCAACCGCCCCACCCGGCACTTTAGCCCATTTGTCCGGGTGTCATATGCCACTGCCCTGGCACGTTGGCCCCAAGGCGGTCTAGATACAATCGCCTCATAACCTGACACCCGGCCAACGGTGCCCACGAACCGAGAAGGGCAGTCGATCCGTGTGGGTAAGGGCAAGATCTCAAGGCAAGTCAACATGTCACTACGGCCTCCCTTCTTTGTTCAATCACAACCCAAAACTATTTAAAAAGATTAAATATTAAAAATTATTAACTTCAACAACAAATAAACAACAATTTTGTAGACATACAGCAGCAGGAAACCAGGTAGAACAACAGGAAGCCAATTGACTCACTCAGAAACAAAATTCACAAACATGTATTTTTTACACCAAAAATAAAATAAAAGAATTTTAACAACTGTAAAACACAAAAAAACCTATTTAAAAAACTTTTAAATACAAAACAATACTTTTAAATACAAAAAAACACTTTTAAACACAAATAAAGCCAACCACATACAAAAATGAGATTTTGGGTTCCTTTCATATAAGCCTTGTTGATCTAAACCCTGTGGTTCTGGTTCGGCGCAAAGGGTTAAGGATTTTGTTTGACAGTTCCGAAGATGGGATTCGATATTCTGCGGACTCTGCTTGGACGAAACTGTCAGGACAGCATCGAATGGCAGCTTTTGTGAGATTGAGCGTACGGTGCCCTTCTTGCACCCTCTGTAGCACAAATTCCCAGGCTTAAACCTCGAGCCACGAGTAGCTAGTACAAAGGTCAAGGAGTTCTTTCTCCACCAGAAGATGTCAGCTACAGACGCTGCTGCACAAATTGCCCCTGACACAAACAAGCTCTGATGATCTTCTCCTTCGTTAGGGTCCAACAGGGTTCGTGGACAAAGCCTGCCAGACTGGAGGCCAAACTTTGTGCTTCAGCTATAAGCAGTAGGTGCGGAACCACATCAGCAACAGTCTTGAGTTTATTGTCTGAGGCACCTCCTGAGAGAGCTGTGCATCCAGTGCCCGTGGCGGGCTCTCTGGAACCAGCGCCTGTGGCGTGGGGGTGCGCGATTTCCCCTTAGATTTTCTATTCAAGAAAGGCCTATGAACCATCTGCCCATGTTAAACCTAGACCCGACACAACACAAGGAACACGTTTGTTGCCTTCCTGCTTCAGGTCCTTTAAAGGAGATCCGGCCTTCGAAGAGCCCGTGGCAGCTTCGGGTTCTGGGTTTTCTCGTCCCACTTTCCGGCGAGTGAACGCGAAGCTCCAGATTTGGCTAACATTGGAATTAGGACTGGGAGGATGGATTCTACGACTGCAATAACACATGCGCAGATGCTCAGACAATCCGACAACCTTGCTACGCGGAGCCGTTTTTCTACCAGTCATATGATGTGTGCTCCTCTGCCCCAAGAGCTTCCCGAGGCTTCGGTGAATACTTAATCCCAAGATCAATCTCGAAGCCTAAGCAGATCTCACGTACTCGCAAAGGTCCCCTTGACGGTGCTCAGCAAGCCCGAAAGACAAAGCCCCAACCATGAATCCATGCAGCAAGATTGGATTCCTTTTTGTATCGGTAGACAGTGCCCGCGCTTTAAACAGGAGGGCACTGTCAATGAGGCTCCGTAGGTTTTCCTCTTCCCACGGCCTCTGACTATCAGGAACAAGGCCTTTGGGAGTGCTTTGCGGGCTGGGGAACTGCGAGGCAATAAAGAGCCGTAATAAGAAAAGGGTTCGGGGTAGAATCTTTGGTATTAGTATTATAAGTACGAGGAACCCTAAGGAATAACATGGCTGATTGTTCAAGCTTCTATATTGCAGACTCTGCAGCTGCCGGGTTCAGTGCTTAGACTGCGGTGCGTAGGAGCTTTGAGGAATGCCGGGGCTAGGCTTCAACCTTTGTCATGCACTATAAGAGGCACTGTACTATTAGGGGTACCATCCGGGTTCATAGAACCTGCGATAATTGCTGTAGTTACCAGAAGATGACCGCTGCATCCCGGGAGGGCAGCAATCAATTTCTGTGTGGCCTGAAGGCTCAGTCGGCCTACACCACAATCGAGCTATGGAACTGAATCGCGATCTCCTCTCCAGCATACGTAGCTTGCCGATCACAGCTTGATTGGAAAACGCCTACACCATGGCCAGGCGAAACGACCACAGCACAGATCCGTCTTGCTTGCGGCATGCCGGGGTAAGCGCCTTTCCTGCTGGAAATTCGGAGCGTCTGGCTGCCTGAGTACCAGGTTCCGGAAATCCGTCTTCAACCCTGAAGCCAAACCGCGACTGTTCTCGCCTGCCTAAACGCGCTTCAATCCTTGCTTCTCTATGGTCCCTCATGGACATGTAGACATCCAGTGCGATCGACCAAGAACGAACCATCCCTTTTTGTTTTGTGACTCGAAGCTCTCCATGGGTCCGTATAACCCTATACACCAAGCAAGCAATTGAAAATGCACACCCGCAAAGTTCTTCAACAGGTTCGCCCTGCAGCCTTTAAAGCTAGAAGCGGAAAAGAAAAAAGCTTGGCAAACCAGGTTTGTGCTGTAGTTGGAGTTGTAGGCCAAAGGACTGCAACTTGCCCTGGCTTCGAAGAGCTTGGTTGTGCGAGGACCGCCTATAACTCCGAAACCTTCGAAGCAAGAACGCCTAGAGTCTCGGAGAGACTCAGCGACAGAGGACGAAGGAAAAGGTTCTTGCAGGTTTCGTGGAAGTTGTGTAAACCAAGAAAGATGCAGTTGTGGGAACGGCGTATTGTTGAGCAGCCGAGATGCTGTCTTGCCACGCAAAATCTATGGTCGAGTAGCTGCCCTCGCGGTATTTGGTAGAAGAGCCGTCATCCTCAAATAAAGCCAAGGTTGCATCTGCTCCCGGGTAAATGCGGACTTCCAGATCAGGATTCGTGTCAGCTGTCGACTGGATGCTGGGCCCAAGAACCAGGAGGGATCCCTTGCGGCAGAAGAAAGGAGCTTGCTGCAAAGTGAAGCTCACATTTTGCATTCCTCCATACTGCTCTCCGGTGTGGAAATTAATCCAACTGCCTTGCGGGAAGTAAATCTCCCTTGTAGTCGCCTTACCGGAGTCTCCGGCCGAAACAATCGGAGTCACCAGCAGGGAGGGTCCAAACATGTAAGCATCCGCGATGCGCCGTGCTGCCGCATCTTCAGGAAAATCGAAGGTCAACGCTCGCTGCATCGTGTAGGCTTGCGCTTCCACGCGCCAAAACCCAGAATAGACCTCGATCTCCGAGGAGGCAGAAAGCGGGCTACCAGAACACCACACACCTGATTTAAACCAGTAGTTAACTCCTATCAAACACATCGTAAAATTGAACCAGCACATGATCTGGAGTTGCATAGGGCAGGAGCCGGTATCTCAGAGTAATAGCAGAGATGTTGATGATGTCCATGGTGGTGTTCCCGAAGTTCCAGATTTCCGTGTGACTCCCGGCTCCGTGGACCCGGAAGATCGGCGTGAAGACTCCAAACTGAAACCAGCGAATCAAAAGTCTGCGATAGTCATCCTGCGCTGGCGTGAATTGAACGTTGCTTGGAGAATAGGTGCAACTGCTGGGATACACAGCGATTCGCAGTCAAGAGGCAGAAGTGTATTGATCTTTTGGTCGGAAGAAACCTGCAGCTAACAACCCGCAGAAGCTCAAGCGAGGAAAACCGGAGTTCGTCGTAGTTGCCACAGGCATGCACCCGCAGCACCACCAAAAAGGGCCGACTCACTGGTACCTTTAAGGGACCCTAACTATGCAGCAGGATCCTTCACGCAAGGATCCGCCAGTTTTAAACACTCTTCCTCACACAATCTCTCCGATCTCCTTCGAACCCGACCCTCCATACTAGGGCCCAACATTGATCTACATGTCGTCAGGGCTTGGGGTTTTGGGGCTTTCGGGTTTTACCTCTTCCCGGTCCTGATGGCATGGCAAGTCGAACCTGTGTACCAGCAACAAACCATTGATTGTCGCTTCTATTGCAGCAGAGGTTCCACCGATGTCCTGTGCCCAGTAGGGTATGCCAGACATCCTGAGCAGACTATGCTGGTAGTAAAATTAGTATTTCGATTGGAGGGGCTTGCTGGAACCCCTCGCTGCATGTATTATGGGGTTTACGCTAATTACAACATGGTACTGCGGTGTACACTACTATAATTGGACTCGAAGGGACAATTGTCATTGTTGTTGTTATGCCGGCAGAAATTCGTGTGCCACCACAAGCCGGGGCACGGGTAGTTGATGGAGCTCGCCACCTGCCGACGAAGCATGTCCCAACTCGCCGTGGTGTCTCCAGTCCTTAGGAAGAAGCGGCTGAAAAGCCCAGTGTCTGGGGCTTAAGCCCTTTAAACCCAAACCAAGATGTTCCTAGAACCCTAATCTCTAAACTGCAAGCCTACAGCCACGGCCCTAATCCGTCAGCTTTACGTATTTATGAAGCATACTGGCTACTCCATGTGGCATGACGCAACAAACTTGTGAGCTAACACAATCATATGAATGTTGTCATAAAGCAGGAGCAGACATAGACTATGCTATCGTACCATGTGGCATTCCCAATTAATTTGTAGTATTAAGACAGCATCGTACTCTTTGTACGAGTATTGCTACTCGTATTCATACCCGGTCCGGTTCCATACGAAGATAAAGGGTAGAGATGATCGACAAGACAAACATGCAAGGATAAAAACACAAGTATGAACATCATGTAATGAAAACGATGTAACACAGAAATCAACACTTTTTATCGTGTAGCAACCCGGACAGATATTTATCGGAATATGAGGTACTGAAAACATGAACTTAACGTCACACGTAATGCAATACAAATGCACATTTCAACATGCGTAAGGTGTAGCAAAGGCGTATAAGAATGACTGCAATGTTAAAGCACGTAAAGTATTAAATGAATATAAGCGAATAAAACAGGAGAAACCATGAGTTTTACTGGAAATGTAGCGTAGGGGCAGTATGAATCGGAAATATCCCTCAGAAGGAAAGCTAGGTATTAACCTGCACATAGTGTAGCAGAATTTTAAACATCTTATCTTTCAGCATCCCAGCCGCCAAAGAGCAGCTCCCGTCTTCTGCTGACCTGCAAAGGAGCTCCTGCAGGCTTTGCGCTATGGCTGAAGCTAGGGCGTGTTTGCTTTCTTTTCTATGAGGCTTTCTGTGTAGGTTTTGCAGCTCTATGAGGCTTTGATCTATTGGCCTTCACTTAGAGAAGGGTTCCCGCAAAAGTGTTCTACATGAAGTTTACTACAAAGGGATTGTAGGAGTTCAAACCACGGGCCTTGATAGTTAGAATGCGTTTTGGGGTATGCTATATAGTATAGTTTTATTTATGCGGCGATACTACTACAAGTAAGAGTTTTTCAGACTGTTGTATCAGATCAGTGCTGTTTAAGCACCCTTTCGCGAAACAACGGATCCATAGTCGACAGATTCACAAGGGCTTCAGGAACTTTTCTGTTTAGCATCGTTTTGAGTCTTACAAACACTTGAGCCCGCAACCCTGACGCTTTGTTTTCGGGGATGAAAAGAACTGTCGCATGTGAAGGAGGCCTTCTATACTGCGGTAGGACGAAAGTTTGACCTACTCCTTGTTTCGTCGAACACAGGCCCCCATTCCCCCATAGAATCCTAACAAGCAGGACCAACCGGCTACTCCTCCGGAACACTAAAGTAGTATATTTTCAAAACGGGGTATAAAATACTCCGCTGGCCAGGCCACGTAAATCGCACCTTTCGGTACTCCGCTACTCCGCAAGACGTCTTAAGACAAGACAGATCATGTAGGTCAAAACTTTTGTCCTCCCGATGTAGCAGCAGCATTGGGCATCTTGGATTTCAGGTGGTCGGCCGGGCCATCATGTACGGAACAAGAATGGACCAGGCTTTCAGTCTGGCCTCTTTCAATTTTTGTGTTCTGGTCAAGTTGTGTTTCCGACATGGCTTTACAACTCTGTGTTGGATTAGGGCCGTGGCAACGCAGCCTCTAGAAGGCTCACTAGCAGTATATGGGTTAAGATAGAGCCGATTTCAGGTATCCATCTATTGGATACTTGACAGGGTCTGGGTACAGGGCTCGTGCCTCGTCAAGCTGAAAACGCGAGCGCCCTGAGCATTCGGATAATCCTCGGCTGACATTGCACCGGCCGGTTGGATATTAATGCTTGGGCTTCCTTCAACTCTCTGACTCTTAGACAGAACGGGCCCAACAACCTTTACAATCTTTCTTGCAGTCTGCCGAGCAACTTTCCGCAATCCATTTGCAATTCCTCAGTTTGAGTGGCATTGGATGCTTCGGCAGGATAGGTTCGATCAGTTGGGGGATTCAGGTAACTTGCAAAGAGAGTGTCCAATATCTAATCAGCACTGCTAGCTGCTAGAAGTGGCATCAACACATCTTTGCTCGTCCCAAACATGTCCTGGAATTCGGGCTTCCCGTATCGTTTTGGCAGAGTCTCGCTACTGGTTTTCATGTTCGGGAATCACCCTGGCTGAGCCAATGTACACTGCCGTTGACCTCGTCTGCTATGCGTCTAGGATCGGCATGGTCCAGTGCCAATGACAAGTGCTTGCTTGGCCTAGAGCAAGCCCTAGCAGCATGCTGCTTGAGAAGGCGGTGTGCTGGCTTGACACTTTTTTGGCGATGATTTCCCCGCGTCGTTTCGAACACATCTAGCAAAACAAAGCTACCAGTAACAACCGTGGGCAAAGAGAGAAGCCATCTTTCCAGTCAGTACCTTCCGCTGATGCTGGCTGCAAGAGTTTTCGTCCTCTGCACCAAGCCCTGGTCAAAGCTGCGCGAACTCCGAATCGCTTCCAAACCCTGAACAGAATCTCGAAGGCATCTGCTTGCAGTTTTCCCGCATCTGCGAGAAGGCCCATATCAAAACCTCGTAGGATTCTGAAGACATCCTTTTTGAATCCAAGGTTCCCGATGTGGTTTCCAGAGAGAAGGTGTTCATATATTGGTTCCCGGAGCCCAGGAATGTCTCCTCCGGTTCGTGAGGCTCACCAGGCTTGATACACGGGCCGGAGTGTTTGGACTAGGGATTCGGCGGAAATTGTACTCCAACTAGGTTAAGGAGCCCGAGGTGGCGGGGTGGCGGTGTTGTTCGTTGGTCCAGGCAGACATCTTACTCAGAACTCCTCTCTGAACCCCCCACCCCTTTTCTGCCTTCTCGGAGCGATATCAAGAATCCTTTCGGGAACCATGAGTTCCTCTACCGGGTTCCTACATTCAACGTTCAATGTGAAACCTGAAACTCCGTTCAGCCAGACTTCAGTTTGAGATAGGTTTTGCTCGTGTAGCGGTGCTCACGCGTGTGCTCTCCAGGCGAGGCATGTGTCCACTTGGTCTGTAATGGGTGCAAGGAAGCCGGAAGTGTCAAAGCAAGGCGTCATACATTAAAAGCTGCCCCCACCCTGTAATAGTGGTACAATTAATAGGAATACAATAGGGCCCTACTGTAATCCTTATAGCCACTACAGTATTACAGGGTGGGGGCAGCTTCTAAGTCATACAGCACAACAGGCACGCAACACTTAACATCAAGATTCCAGCTCGGGGCTTCGGGTTTTGGGGGTTTGAAGGTTGGCTCTTTTATAGACTGGAGCCCGTACTATAGTGGCCTTAACAACTAAAATAGAGTTGTGGGGCCCATAATACCATACTTACGATATAAGGAACCCCCAACATAGTAATGATGGTAACTATTCAGGCTCCCATATGGGAGTTTCCGAAAATTGGGGGTTACCTTATTTGGGGTCCTTATAATAAGGATCCTACTATTCAGGGTACTATATTAGGGTCCCCTTTTTCGGAAACCCCCATATTACAGTAGCACCGTGACTAGTGCTCTCCTGGTCGATGTTGGGGAGGCCCTCGGGTTCCGTCGCATCCAACCACAGGCTCTCCTGCCGGAACACGCGGCTCCGAGTTCTTTCATGGCAAGGTAGGACCCTAATATAGTACCCCCCCAAATAGTGGGATCCTTATTATAAGGACCCCAAAATACGGTACCCCTAGGTTCGGGGGTTAAGGTGTTAAGTGTTCCAGAACCAGCCCCGGCTCTCCTCAAGAACATATTGCTAAATGATCGTTCCATGAAATTGTGCTTGTAGCCTGAGAAGTTTATGTGAACGTTAACGTTTGCTGCCGCGAGACGATGAACCACAATGCAACGTTTCACCCCGCCTGATCCCCCACCGCACCACCCACCACCCCCGTCCCATCTGCGCCCGATAGAATGTTTGCTAAACTGTCAATATAGTGGGGACCATCATCGGGAAATCTAATCCTAATCACAAACATGGCTGAAGAATTGTTTCATATGGATTTGGGCCGCGAAAACAGGGATACGATGCAGTTTCTCAAGCAAAGGTAACGTCCTTAACAGTGTTAGGCTACAGCCTGATTAGGGCTACTGCTTTGATATTGCAGGTTTAAGCAGTTCCAGTTTGACGTGCCGCCGGCAGAGCCGCAGCAGGCATCATTACTTCCTGAGTAGCTCCGCAACTTGCCCTTAACCTCGAAGTCCGTCGAGACGGCATGATGCATCTTCTTACAGTTGGTTAGTAGGGAATGGAAGAATGGTAGTAATACTATTTGTAATTGTGCCCCATTCCTGAATTCCCTACTAACCAAAGGTAAGATGCAAAGTGGCGCAGGACAAGCTGCAAGCTCTGTGCAAAGCAGTTTCCGATCGAACGAAAGACCTACACGGTGTGACGCAGGGGCCTGTCAAGACAAAAACATCGGGAAGTGGGACTGTTTGCGGAGGCGGCGCCGGCTTAATGACGTCCGGTCTCATCAGATCACTGCATGTGCATGGTCATGCCGTCTTCATGATGGTGGCGGTGATGGTGACACTAATTGAAACGGGTGTTCTTGATGTTGCTGCAGACTGTAATGGTGATGGATGGTGATTTTGGTCACTGCTTTTTCTTGTTTTCTCTTTGTTCGTTGCATGTGGTCTTCATGGTCATGGCCTTGTAGTCTTCGTGGCCGTGCAGTTTTGAGTGCCAAAGAAGCCTTTTGCAAGTCCTTTTTTGCAACAGGCTTCGTACTTCAGCCCTAAACCCTAAACCCTCAAAAGGTTCGGAACTTGCTGCTTACAGCGAAGCTCCCAAATGAGCTACAGCGATTCGAGACAGCCGCCACAATTGAAGTGCAAGGATGCGTGGAACTCTTCACTTCTCCAGCGGCAGATGCAGCAGTAAGAGCGACGTCGCTTAACTCTGTCCCAAAACACAGAGTATGAGGAAACTGTCCCATGCCAAGAGCCCCCGCTGCGAATAAAAACAAATCCGAAAATGCAACATGCATACAGTGTACAACGCCCGCGCTGTGGCCAGAGTACGATTTCAGCAACAAACTTTAAAACTTTGAGTTTTCAAGGCCAGCCGAAAACTGCTCAACAAATCACACAGGTACCAATCAAACATGCAGATTGGCCAATAGTTTGCATGACAGCTCCTCGTTCATGCAAAACGCGCATGTCGCTCGAGTCTCTACCATGTCGCCGTGTTGCACATTACGAGATAATTACCAATACTATTTTGGAGGTTCCTTCTTATATCAATAGTACAATGGGTCCCAAAACCCGAGTCTAACTATTGAGGTCCCCCCTGTAGTACAACAGAGGTCTCCAAACGCACGGCCCTGTACGGGCCCTGGTACCTTTGACTACGCTTCCGGCTCAGCCCCTCCTACATGTTTTCATTTGCTTGACGACGTCGTGGCTGTATGCTTTTCAATGTCTTCGTGTGCGATGTCTTCGGACATGTGCGGCTACGGCTTCACGATGAGGATTTGCTTCAGTTCATTCCTACATGAGGTCATGCTCATCACTCACGTGGCTCTCTTCGCCTGAATTCTCACAGCCTTTTCGACTCGACCTGTTCCGAGTCTCTCATGTTGCTCGGGCTCACCACTTCTCGAGACCCTGCCACAGGAACACAAGGAACATGGAATCCAAAACCCACAGACGGTTCAGTCCACACCGATGGCGAAGTGGGCTTTGTTGCAGAAATCATAGTAGAGGGTCCTTGGCAGAAGTCTTCCGGGCTAGATCACCTTTCGGCGGTTTCGGATGGGATGTCTAGCCTGAAGTGAATGCAGCATATGGCATATCGGCATATTTGTCTTCAGGTTGGGAAGTTCGGTAAAGTATGCACAAAGACAGGAGCGAAAGGTAACAACACCTGCGTTGTTTAAAGACATGGCTTGCACCTTGCTGCGCAACTGTAAAGGTCTAGCGGGTACAATAGTCTACCTCCGTCTTTCAAACCCGACCTTTGCTTTACATGCGGCCTTTCAGCTTTGCTACCCGCTCCAGCAATGTTCGATCCGCGCTTTGACGGCGGCTGCCGAAAGAGATGCGTCTGCACTTTTTCTGCGTTTGGCATACCAAAAATGGATGCTGATTCGTCCTACTACTACGAGGTATGCTGCAGCGCTACCGTGCAATGCTTGCTTTAACAACCGAAAAGCTTCTGGGAATTACATGGACTTGCGTGCTCACCGTCGTAGCAGCACTGAACCGAGTAGCAGCATGATCAATGACACATCACGATTACTCATGACATATTGAAACGGCTCTCCTGAAACAGGCAGGGTCTTTTGACAGCCTGCCACGGAGAGGATCTCAAGGGCACAGCCTATGGTGCAGTGCCTCGATTGCCTCGTGTCGACATGATGCAATGAACGAGCCCAAGTCCGACAAGCAAACCTTACGACTCCGTCTATCCCTGACGCACATTCCCCTGATCGAAATCTCACCCCGAGACCTTAGAACACACTTCTGCTAAGGCTCTGTGCATGTGGGTTCCATGCGTCGTACCAATTGTTGTTGGTTTGGTTGGTGTTGCCCAGCACCATCCTCGGTCTCTGAGGTCACCATGCGGCATAATGCAATGAAGGCGACGACTGGACAGCTTTGTGGATGAGGACTAGGGTGTTGGTCTTCATAATGGTGTTCCGTTTATTCAGGATGCTGTTGATGGGTGCTGTTGCAGGTTGCGAAGAAGAAGAAGATGGTGACAATGATGCTTGAGGAGACAGCTTTTAGCAGTGCCCCACCTTGTCCACTGCTGCGCCTTGACTTCCTAACTTTGAGTGCTAAGATCTTGCCGATGCCGCGATGTTGCTTAAGGAGAGCCTTTTTGTCATGTGTCTTTTAACGGAAGGGGTGTCGAGGATGACACTCGCGCCGAGAATGTGAGGCATGAACAAGCACCATGATGATGATGGTCTTTGGTGCTACAGCGGATGAACCGCCAGATCGCAGCTGAACCGAGCTCTTTGCCACTGCGCGCAGAAGGGCAGCGCTAAAGCAGCCAAGAGACAACACATTTTGCTGTTGGAGAACTGAGAAACGAAGGGACGCAAGTCGCTCACTCCAAATCTTATGAACCTCGCGCCCTCTTCAACCTAAAACATGAAACACTAAACGAACCCCCTAAACCCCAGGAGCTCTGAAAGCCAAGGATCCCAGCTGCTTTCATCGCCTTCAAGGCTTTAGGACGTTGGGACCTAGCTTGAGGGCTTTGCCTCCTGCCTTGCTCGGACGAACCTACGACGAAAGTCCTAGCTTTTTTGCGAGTCCTTCTGTCATGTCCTTTGTAGATAGTCGCTTGAAAGCTAAGCAAACCCCGGACCCCAAACCCAACCCAGACCCTCGACCCCCAAAAGCGTAAACCTACAGCACTGTCACGAGAACCCCTTTAACAGAGCCTTATGGAACCCTCTAAAGGAATCCCTTAAAGGAAGCCCTAAAACCAGGAGCCCTTAAAGGAAGCCCTAAACATCCCTAAACCCAGGATTTCTTAAAGGAAGCCCTAAACCCAGGAGCCTTTAAAGGAAGCCCTAAAACCGAGGAGCCCTTAAAGGAAGCCCTAAACCCAGGATCCCTTAAAGGAAGCCCTAAACCCAGGAGCCTTGAAGATGGCGGTCTTGTTGTCGAACTTGCCCCAAACGGAGACCATGAGCTTCCTGGCTCTAGGGTTAGGGGTTGAGTACTGCCCCCATACAGTAACAGGCTTCTTTTTCAGGTCCAAATTTGACTGAAACCTTCTCTTCGTGTTTCTTGGGAGTCTCCGGGTTACGGGTAATGGGTCTGGGTTGGGTACTGCCCCCATACAGTAACAGTCTATAATAGGGCTACTATTAAGGTCCTATTATGTCTATATTAATAATATTATCCAGCTGTTACTGAGTGGGGGCAGTACCCAAGTTAGGGGTGGCTTCCTTTAGCGCAGACTTATTGTAGGAGCTATACATTGGTAGTTGTCAAAATGAAAGCCTCTTTTGGGTACCCTAAATACTAGGTGCCGTATTATAATAGGGGCCCAAAAAGGGACCATGATTGTGACAACCACCCACATGGGAGTTAGAAGGGGCAACTTGTAGGGGCTCTGACATGGGGTTGGGGGGCTTCAAACGTCCTTCAACAAAATCCCACAGGCCGTACAACCCACCAAAAATCCCCGACGCCTCAATAGCTACAATCGGGTTCTTGGGTATACTGTAGTATAACAACTCTGCTTTCTGATATGGTCAAAGGGAACCTTGAGGATATTCGGCCTTAATGATTGGAATAGGGTTTTGGGGCCCACTATACTACATTTATAATAAGGAGCCTCCAATTTAGTATGGGTAGGTATGAAGGCCCGTATAGTAGTACGTTCAGACGAACTTAGGTCACAGCAAACAACGGAGTGCAAATGGGATCGGGGGCTACCAGCTATGACGCAAGAATCTAGGTTTCCCAGTAGACCTCGTTTTTTCCTAATACTCAGTTTTGACAAGGAAACCGCAGAATAAAAAGGCAAAGGGCAGGAAGACCTGGAACCAGTATCACTCCAAGTGACTACATAATCCAATGGCCGGCACGGCCGGCACAGACAAGAAGAACATATTCCGCATCCAACGAAGCTGGAACAACAGCAGGCGAAAGTACGATAACCACTCTGGACCTCGGACACTGTCTGACTGCGGGCAAAAGTCATGTCCATGGTCTTTAGCGCCTGGACCATGCCTCACAAATTGGAGCTTTTTTCGCTGTGGGGGTTCGGTGTTTGTGTTGCTTTGTGGAAGTTGCAAACTGGAACAACTCACAGAAACTGTACACTAAACCCGTAGATCGTGGAACCCCAAACCGCTACAGCCAAAAGGCGTGCTAGAACCTACAGCTAAGGACGCTGACCCTAACAACGCTAAGACACCCTACTAAGTCATTATGCCTCATTCTTTCGCTGCCCACCCTGCAGCCCTTTTTCTTGTTGCATTTTCGCAGATACACACATTTTCCCTCCAAGACGTTCCAATAACCTGTCCTAGGAAATTTCATACCCTGCGCACATCTGCCATGCTCGTGCGCGAGTAGCTTCCGTGACCGAATCCGCTCTGAGTGTGTGACTTTCTGTGCAGGAACCCTCGTTCACGAATCCACCACAGCAGTGCACGAATCCCATGTGCACGAATCCTTTGCTCATTCTGCGAATCCAGAATTTCCCGGATGCGAGTCCTCCCTCTCTGCCTTGAGTACACATTGATCCCCGAAGCCTTGAAGGTATTGAGATTCTGCGTTTGTTCGAGGTTGGTGCTGGCTTTCACTCTGCCCGCCCTTACTAGCCCGCAAGCCGTCACAAGCCAAACGCTTAAATCCTTGCCGGAACCCGTATCCTTCATTCCCGGCCCTATAGCCCTGAAGACCTAAACCCTCGATGACTGAACCCAAATCCCTAAAACTCTCTTTAAACCTATCGCTGCTTTGATTTGTTCATCGTTTAGATAGGGGTCAGATTAGGAGTACTGTCTTGAGGGATCCTTGTGTTGTGGGGTGCATTTCAGGACCCCTGAATCTTATTGGATCCTTACGTCGAAGAACATACTGTTGAGATTTTTCAGACCCCGTGTTTTCTTTAGTTTGCGAAAGCGTCTGGCGGTTCGAAGGCACATTGGAACCTGCCTGCAGGGTCAGGGTAGCGCGTCAAATCCCATTCGGGTCCCCAGCCGAGATCACCCCAGTACAGCCAGTCCTGCCGAGAAAGTCCACGGGTTCGGAAAGGTCAGTTTTCCAGAAGATCAGAACAGCATCGGTAACTTGTACGGGACATGGGCAGATCTGCTTCATGTGCGTCTGTTTTGAGTTATGATTATGTCTGCTCCTGTTTTTCTTTCCGTTGCAAAGGGCGTGTGTGCGATTGAAAAAGTGGGTAGGACCACACTGTCTTTATGGAGTCTTACCGTCTTTTCACACGAGAAGGACGCTGCAATCCTCGAACAGTGGGATCGTTCTTCATGCTCCTGGCTGCCACACCCCATCAACTGATGTAAATCGTCAGTTTTTCCTTGTTCCTGCAGGTGTTGTGACAGTCACCTTGCACAGGGGTGCCTGCTAAGTTTTCAAGCAGAACAAACGTTTGGTAGAGGGCTTGTGTCGCAAACAAGATGCTCGGCCACCAATGGGTCACTCAGTCTCTCAGGAACCATCTTTCTAACGTGGGGCTCTCCCTCAACTTTGTGAAGAGGTATCTTGTTTACATAATTCTGTCTGGCTCAGTACTTGAGTCCCCTTGGAGGTCCCTGTTTAATCATGCTGGAATATACTGGAATATGTCCCTCAAACCCTATACATGTCCTGCACGATGGCATCCACTGGGATCGATCTGTCCCGAAAGCCATGGGCGGCCTGGCACAGGAACCCCTTGGGTCCAGTTTGGACACTGAAGTGTATGGATACTGATCCCGGGAGGGTTTTTTCTTTGGCATCTTTCCTCAATGAGCATGCCTATGAAGTGCCGTGCCAAAATCAAGCTTCTGCAACGAAAACAACTGCGGTCGTTGCAGAAGCCCACTGCCAGCTACCCACGAGCAACCCCACTACCCGAGTAAGTGTGTAATGACGAAACGGTATGGGAAATCCACATCGTCACATCACCGTTTATTCGCCCTCGACCACGCTGCCTCGAGAACCTCTGCTTGGCTTGCATAGTGCTCTCGGCACTGCCAGAAGCCGAAGGCATACTTTCCATACAAAGGTGCCGCACCTGCCGGAAGAGCTGCCCAGCCCCTACAGTAGAGTTCCGCATTTACTGCCAGCAGGCGTTCGGCCTTCCCCGTGTGTTGCGGGTCCAATGACGAACTCCGAGCTTTGGCCAGGGATATGCGTCAAAACCACAGCCCACCTGTAAAAGGAAAACGGCCCGAACTCTGCTAAACCCTACCCCCACAGTAAACCCCTCGACCCTCAGCCCCTACCTGTGATGCTGCGGTAGCCGGCGATGACGTCATCCATCCGAGGTCCTTTTACGAAGTAGTAGTCGATCGCCTCTGCCAGGCTCGACCTGCGACCAGGGCAGTTCTTCAGTACTCTGACTCTCGGGGGCCGTTAAGACTCGGAATATGCAACAGAATCAAACAAACAAATTGCCGAAGGTACTGGAAAGTGAGAGATCTTAAGAATTGGAATATATACGAAAGCTATAGCAAGGACCCCGAAAGGGAAAATAAAAGACGTCATTTGGGGCCCTACATTAACGGAAAGCTCAGAAAATCAAACGGCCGTGTCAAGGAACAAATCTGAACTCAAACGATGTCATTCATAGCCTGGGCTGCGGCACAGCCGACAGCATGCGCAACAGAGACGGGACACCATGGATGTTGGGGCCTCTGAATTCGCACTCGTGCATTCCGAGCCCGACAGACCAGCATTAAGATCTGAGCTTCAAGCGACTTTTTTGGATCCAGGTCTCGGACGCTATAGCTTCGAGCGGAAGTGAAAGCCTTTTGAACCCAGACTCTGCTGAAGGTGAAAGCCCAAACCCTGAACCCCGGCCTTAGAGTCGTGCGCCCGCTGTCATGATCAGGGCCCTGGACATAGAGCCCAGCGCCTGGAGTGTCGAAGCCTGGACAGAATCACTTGCAGCATGCGGGTCGCATGGGCCAAACACTCTCATCCATGCTAGTGCGATACAGGATTTGGTGCTTACTACTTGGTGTTTGAGTTTGGGGCATAATAATAACAACAATAAACACACCCTGATACCCTGGGCAGTCGGGCAGGCCTTGCAACTTCGGTCAAGATCTCAAACCCCTCAAACCTTGATAATACGCAGCACCCCAGAAGAGCAAGCAGACTTATGCAGCAACTCAAAAACGACGACAAAGACGGCAAATGAACAAACAAACACAGTCAAAAACAACCAACACTCAAGCAGTCAGTATAACCGAAATGTGTACCCCCCAGAGAAACCCCATACATACACCAAGAGAGTCGAAAGACACACCACAATGGAACTTCCCACATAGTCTGTATATATATATATATATATATATATACACACCACTTTCTAAACCAAACACCGTACCAAGCATGGGCCCTCAACCCGAATGGGGTCCTCTAGAACCTCCGAGCCCTTTTTGCATCAGGACTTGTGCACTCGCCGGAACACATGGACGAAAGGTCAGCAACCTTAAACCCTAAACCTAGACCGTACTAATGCCTTTACCGAGTAGCTGAATCGAACGCGGTATCGATGGCCTGCCTGGCAGCTTTTGCAAGACCCACTTGTCGGGTATCATGGGGAACTAAAGGTTAACCTTTTTGGATATATAGGGATTATATAGGGACTATACGAGCCAAAAAAGGTTAAAGGTTACCTACTCTACTACTAGGAAGAGGCAGCTCGCCGAGCCCGAGGTCTTTCCCAGGGTCTAAGCAACTTGTTTTTCGTCGGGGCCGTGATACTTGAAATGTGTCCATCTTATCATACGTGATGAAAAAGAGACGCAAGGAATGACGTTGGTAACTACTCAGGATACTATATTGACGGAGTCGCGCGGCAGCGAAGCCACTAACATTCGCAGGATGCAGGTCCCGGGGTCCTGCAAATCCTCGTCAACTCCAGGACCAACCCCAACAGGCTTAGGGTTTCAAGGTGTAGCTTTGAGGTCTCAGGCGGTTTGGCATGGGGAATACTTATACCTGCACGGTAACCGGTAGCCGAAGAAGCGGAGGCAATTGATCTGCCAAACTCGGATGAAAGGGTCAGTGTCGGAACAAATCGACTCAAGGCGTTTCACGAAACGCGAATCTTTCCAGGTTGAAACTGCAACAAACAGCTTGAGGCTGGGTCCAGAGCCTTACAGAATAGGCCTAGGGCTTCGTTCTTGGAGTAAGCTTCTTCAGCTCCTTGTCTTTGAGCCCTGACTCTGACCCTTGGTACGGGGCTAGAATTAGGGCCCCAAAAAAGCACATAAGCAACAATTAGGATAGGGATATCCCATATCAGCCCCCTTGTAATGAAGCCCAATAAGGTAGGGATATCCCAATACGATGCTTATGCTTATGTGCTTTTTGGGTCCCTGAAGAAAGGTTTTCCTATGCCAAACGGTACAACGGTACAGCGCACGCACAAGTAACGGTCTGCGGTTTCCTGGCTTTGGTCTAGACTTCTGGGCTCTGGCTTCGAAGGGATACTTCGTGGCGTGTGCGAAAAAACACTGCGAGGCGTTGAAGTTGTGGAATATGTCATGAAGGAGCAAAGGCATCATCCCATCATCCCTCATTCTCTTGATGCTGTTTCGGTGGCTTGACACATGAAAAGGATCTTATTTCAAGGACCCCCAAACATTCTCCTAGCAGCAATTTGCGATCAGAGATGAGAGAGCCTTCATGTTTTCCACGCGGCCAGTGAGGGACGATGGGTGGTTTTGCTCATCCTTGGTCCACCTTAGAGGCGATTCTTGTTCAAGGTCCTGTATGTGTGAAGTGAAGAGCTCGAGGGTTCATCAAAGGTTAAGCTTCAGGCTTTGAGGTTGTAGCCTCAGTTACAAATGAAGGATCTACGGATATAAGCTTTAAGCCACCAAACGCAACCACCCCTAAGAGCCAAGAGCCTAAACCACAAGCCCTCTGAGATTCTTGGCCTAAGGAGTATTCAAGCCTTTAGGCTGCTGATCTTCAAACCGCACTCCTAAACAATAGGGGAGGAGCCTTAATTATTGTTTTAAACAGGCTGCTTGAAGGGTTCTTGCCAAATTTCAAAGGGTGCTCTCTAGGGGCCTCGGCCAACTGTTCGGGGATTCTCCGACCCTTACAGTACCTTCGGGGTTTCGGGTTGGCTTTAGGTTGTAGATGGTTGTAGGGTTTAGGATTCAGGCTTTGTAGGACTTTGCGGGAACTTGAGGGGGGGTTCTGCACACAGTTCAACCTGCAACTGAATGTCCGAGATTGACATCCGTGACGCATACCCCCCCTTTCCATGTAACGCCACCATGGCCAATATGCACCGGGGACCTTCACAAGGGGCCATACTCTGATCACTAGAATACTGTGAAGCAATGAGTTATAAGCGCCTCTGATATCGACTGTAGCTCCCATTGGGTTTTCAGAACGTGGGTTCTGAATGTAGTCGACCCCAGTGTAGCAACCCCATCAACCCGTATAGAACTTCACTAGCTGAAAACATTGAGGCACCAGAGAAGCCTGCTATGCGTGACTCAAGCCTCTGCAAAACTACAGCTGGAAAAGGCACCGAATGGCGACGATCTCGGGCCCACCCTCCTGCCAGGAGTGAGTTTTAGAAACTGATGGAAACACAATGATTTTGTTGTTGCCGCTTCGTTGATGTTGAAATCGTTACAGAATTAGTCGTCGTAGTGGTAGTCGCAAAAGTAGTAGCACTAATCGTTGTAGTTTTCCTGGATGCAGCGGCGGCCACAGCCGTGGTAGTCCAAGAAATAGCAGTAGTAGCAGTAGTAGTAGTAGCAGCAGCGGTAGCAGTAGTAATAGCAGTTGAAGAAGAAGTAGTAGTAGTAGCAGTAGCAGTAGCAGTAGCAGTAGCAGTAGCAGTAGTAGTAGTAGTAGTAGTAGTAGTAGTAGTAGTAGTAGTAGTAGTAGTAGTAGTAGTCGTGGTGGTGGCGGTGGTTGTGGTTGTGGTTGTGGTTGTGGTTGTAGTGGTAGTGGTAGTGGTGGTCGTGGTGGTGGTGGTGGTGGTGGTGGTAGTGGTAGCAGTAGCAGCAGCAGCAGCAGCAGCAGCAGGAGCAGCAGCAGCAGTGGTAGAAATACTGGCAGCAGCATGCAGCAGTAGCAGTTCCTGAACCCTCGAAAACATCTACGTAAACCCGGGGAGTGGGGGCTTTGATTCAATTCAATGACAGCAGCAGCAGCCGGAAATACTGATAGTAGTAGTAGTAGTAGTCGTCGTCGTCGTCGTCGTCGTGGTCGTGGTGGGTGGTGGTGGTAGTCTTTGCAGTAGAAGTCGTGGTCGTGGTGGTAGTAGTAGAACGTCGTCGTGCTGTCTTGGGAGTCGTATCAGTGGTCCTTGGTCCCTGTACTGCTCGCCGTAGCAATAGCAGTAGCCAGAGTGTCAG